GAACAGCCACCACACACCCTACAGTCATCTTATCAACTGCAACAACTTAAGAGTAAAGCCACAGGAGCCACTGGAACCAGGTAGTGAAAATCCTGTTCTGGAATGGTTAGAAGGGTAAAATGCTGAGCTTCAGGAGGAGAGTAGAGGCAAATAGTTCTCAAAATACCATCATGCCACTAAACACACTTTGTTCTGTACTGGATTATGGTGGAGTGCTGTTTTTAACATCCCTCTAAAAGAGACTGAAAATATAATATTTGGTTATTATAGAGAGGAGCTAGAAAGGATACAATAGATGTATGCGAAACTAACACTCTAAGTTGATAAGCAAATATAATCAGTTATCTGTGAGGCCCATCTCTTTGCAGTTTTGAGTGGGCCTTCGTACTTCTGAAATGTGAACATATGCTAAACTGATTTTGAAAAGCAAAATTAAGTATCTAAGAGGAAAATGAAAAAAAACTTCGAATCACTAATTCAAAGACATTGACCTAACTTTGCTGTATTATAGCATTAGGAAAATAACTATCCATATTTAAAGATAATTGTGATTAAAAGTGTGTTTGCAGAGGAAAACAAGTTAACAATACTGATTTCTGTAAGTCTCTGATACTATGAAGCATTTATGAACAAGCTGAAGAGTCCTTACTGAATAGGGAAGCTTTCTTGGACCAAGACCTAAGCAAGACTGTATTTATGCATATAACTGTGGACAACAGTTGTTCATATCATTTATAAGCCTGCTAGTTAAAACTTTTTCAGCAAGGAAATAAAAGCCAAACAGAAAAAAAAGAAAGTAGTCATACATTTCAAAGTAATAATTCCATCATATATTTGAAAATCATCATTCCACAACCATCAGTAATAATATCTAGCAGTATACTTGTATAAATCTGCCTAAAGCACTTGTAATTTTTGCAGTATAATAAAATAAGAAAGATGCTTACATCTCTCTATATATTAATTTCTGGAAAAATCCAGCAGTACTATGTACTACACATGAATATTTATCAGAGGAAAGTAATGGTTATACCCATATTTAATTTTTAATCTGAGATCTTGGATATTATTAACTTTCCTGGCAGTATTAAGAGGAATAATTTCATAATTCAGAATTGAAAAGAACTGCAAATGAACCTTAAGTAAATAGAGCTGAATTATCTTTTGCAGAGATCTGAGAGAGAGAGACTTGAGGATATGCAGGTTGCATGTGAAAACCTACAGAAATATTTAATATGTGACAGACCATTTTGCTTCACATTCTGCTTTCAGAGTTCCTACAAGCAGGAAATAAATCTGCAAGGAGGCCCTCTCTCTCTGCCTGCAACCCTGTGTCCTGGAACAACATGATTGAATTACACTCTCAGAGGTGTTTTGTTTTGGTTTCATATTGCTTGCTTTATTGAAAAAAAATTTTAGTCTTAACAGTTGCAAGGGAAAAAAAATCTTGAAATCAGATGTAGCTAGTATCAAGAGCACTGACCTCCATCTGCAAAGATGTGACAGAAGATGGGAATGTAGCAGAGGACTGCATGCAGCTCACCCACACCGTGCCAGTAAATTCCCTTTGGCTTGGGAGAAGTATTGGGGGATGTCCTGCGTGTGTCTGTAGTGCTTTGGGTCCGAAGAGGAGCATACCCGTGGAGTGGATTTGTCACTCCCCCCACTCGCTGTGCTCAGGTTCACATCCCGGAGCACTATCAAGTGCACAAGCTGGCTTCCTCTTGAGTGAAACTGAGCCAGAAGGTGTCCTCTGGAGTTACACCTCAAGCACTGTGGCCATGATCAAGTATTCAGGCAGTAATCACTTTGTGCAGCCCTGTGGTGAGCATGAGTGGGCTACACAGCAGCAGCCTGGGAAGTTTCATACCCTAAAGGACCAGCACCACGCAGAGCTAGGTACCCCACTCATGGCCTGTTGGAGCTGGTACAAAGTAAATTACCCTTGAAATGTGTACAAGGTGGATGCCAGGTCTGCAGCATCAAGAGGTTTGCTCTACAGACCTGCTCCTATTTGTCCACAGCGTTTGCTCGTGTGAACACAACCTCGGATGCCACCAGCACCCACAGCTGGCAGGTGCTGGTTCCCTCTCTGTCCCCAGCTTTGTCCTGTCAGAAAACTAGCAAAACTAGCAGAACAGACATGGGGAACATAGCTCTGCAGAAGACCAGAATGACACAGAACAAGACAAACTATGTTTTAGCAAATGAGACAAACCGGGACTATGCAAAATATCTGATGCTACCAGTGATTAAGACAGAGCAGGAAACAAACCATGAAATTACATCTATTACAACTAACTCCATCAGGTTTTAATCTGCTTTGCCTGGGTGTAACAGCTAAGAAAGATCTTCCTGACAGGCCTCCCCACCTGTAGGATTAATTTGGGTGTGTAAAACTAAGTAGGTGCATAAGTGCTTTTCTGGCTCAAGCTGAAAGGCCTTTCCTAGGCTGGCAGTCCTAGAAATGGGGAAAAACTCCTGCCAACTGCGCAGTCACCTATCTACGTCAGTCACAGCATGACTCCCTTAGTATATGCAAATCATCTGACCAGTCTGGCTTTAAATGTTCACAAAGAAAAAATGAGTGTTACAAAGCTGTCTTCAGGAGCTGGATACCTGGTTCCTTTAAAATTAATAGCAGCTGAGCACTTAAAACTTGCCAGTGGTTTAAAATACTAAGTGGACCAATGAGCACAACTGAAAGAATATACTATAGACCATTAAAACTCCTTTTTATTCACATATTCAATGTAAGACTTCCTGTGTTTCACTTTGTCCTATTTTGTCCAGTTCTGTTTCCTGGATCTAAGACTGTTTCCTTCTGTGATGCCTGAACCCCCTTGCACGATGATCACCTTGCTTGTCCAACACACATTTAGCTCTTTTTAATCTTCATGAATCAATCTCTTCAGATGCTTTTTCCCTCTGTCATCCTCCCCTAAACTCTTTCCAGTATGTCAACAGCTTTCTGGGTTTGATGTACCCGAATTACATATCGACTTTCTCACCACTGCCTAATTAACAATTCACAGCCAATATAAGAGTCTCTTTCTCTTACTGATTCCTAATATTTTGTTTCGTTTCCTAAGTGCATTAGTATTAGTAACAATAGCCTCCTCACATCTTATCAACATAGCAGCTCTACAGAGCAGTGGTCTTCCAGGGGGAGTGCAGGACAATCCACTGGGGTGCAAGAAGGAAATACTTTTGTAATATTAATAAAATTAAACTTAAAAATTCTTAAAAATAGTATTTTTTTTATCCTTATCCTTTAAAATTTCTGTTTGCATGTATGTTTTATAATGTACATAATATATTATTGCAGTTGGAAATGTATATAATTTACAAATAAATAAATGTACATATATTGGGAGTGTGTGTTCAAAAAGTTTTTATTGATATGGGTGCACCATTAAAAAAGTCTGGAGACCACTGCCATAGAAGTAAGAGGTGGTAACTTACATCTATTTTAAGTCTTAAGCTATTTGCATCAGAAAATCCACCCTGCTGCCACGGTGCATGCTACAGCATATACCACATCCACTGGTGAACTCACCTGGCAGGGGGTCAGGCCTTGATGACTGACACCGGGACTGCCTGCACCAACTGCTGCCATCATTCCCCATGGTTAATGGTCTAACCAGAGAAAAGTGAGGGTGTGTGGGAGAGTTGGGACTTTGGCACCAGGCACTCTGATCAGGGAAAAGGGATGCAGAGGTCTTTTTTTCCCTGTAAACAGAAATTCAATTTACTGTGTACATTTCACACATTTTACACATGCCTGTATATGCACAAGATATAACAAATATGTATATTTTATCTATTACTGCATTATTTATTGTATTGTATTAGCATATTTACTATTATATTTTGCATAGATTTACTGTATTTGCTACACACATACATTAAATTTATGTGATATACTTAACAAACAGCAGACATATTTGACACATTCTGCATTTAGTTGTAGGTGGAAGAACTGCAACTTCTATATTGTTTGACATATCACATTATAATTTACCATTTGCCTTTAGTTATAATTCTGCCAGACTTGAACTCTTTGCACTGAATTTTTACATAATTTCTCCCTGCTTCTGACTTAGTTTCTTTGAAGGGTTTGAGCAAAAGTGATCTAGCCATTTTTAAGAACAGAGCTTGTGAAGAACAGCCAGTTTAACCTATGCTGGAAACTGTTCATCTTCCGAACATATATATATATTTTTTTTTTGATTGATTGATTGATTGATTGGGTGTGTGTGAAAATATATCCAGATTGGCCAATCCTTTATTTTCTGAAATACATGTTTTTCTGTCATGAACCTGGCTCAAAAGCCCCTGGAACCAAGATTCTGGAGGGGACAGAAAGAAACACCAATATTGCGGTCCTTATTCAAAACGGTGAATGGCTCAGCTCAGGGATTGCTGACCGAGACTTGGGTGCCCCAACTAAACCGTCTGCAGCTAGACAAATGAACCACACTTTTTCATAATGCTGCCAATTTTAAGTTTGATACAAAGGCTAGGAGACACTTTAGAAATTTAGAAAGCAATGGTTATCAGTCCCCAGCCCAGCTCAAAGCACAGTGGGCTGAGAGAAGACTGAGTTCAGGCCGACCCTTCTCAAGACGAAGGGAAATAGTTCTGCGAACATCAACATTTTTGGCTGAAAGCTTTCCAAGTTGTGGTGTCTGACTTGGGGCGCAAAGGATAATAAAGTCACATTTTAAGAACAATTTTACTTGGATTTTACTTTCCACTTAGTCTTGACTGACAGTGAATGCGCTCCTATCAGGAGTTTTGGGCTAGATTCTTGTCTGAAGGTTAACGTTCATTCTTATTTTCAAAATTCCAAATATTTTTAAAAATTTAAATTACCAAGATAGTAATTTAAAAGCGTCCACTTACAGATCCAGTCTGGCACAATGCTGCAATTACAGAGCACACACACTGAATGTCAGATACCTTTTAATGAAGCTTTGTCTTCTTTTTCTTGTTTGTCATGGGTCAGCCCTCTTCCACTCTGTACCAGTTATTGTAAATTCCTGTTCATTTTCCCATCCTTCTTTTTGCTTTGTTGTTGAGAAAGTTGGTATAACACTGTTCTCAAGCTTTTCACTTTCTTCTTTTGCCACCCATCCTTGCACTCTGTTCCAGTAGAGAGGAGTGTACCAAGCCACAGCCTGAAAAAAAAACAAACAAACAAACAAACAAAAACAAAAACAAAACCAAAACATATCACTGCTTATTTATATTCTACATTTTTTCATCAAGGTAACTGTTTGTTATAGACAAACCAGGAAGGTCTGAAAGGGTAGGTGCTCCAGTGTATTTCTGAGATATTTATCATTTGAAAGATAAATACTATACAACCACTAAATTCCAGCTTTTCTTCTTTGGTCTTAAAATTCATTTCCAGTATTGAAATATATTTAGCATAGACTTATCATCAGAGACCCTTGAATTTCCACTGCTCCAGTTAAGTAAATCAGACAAAGGAGGAGAGGACAGAAGACATGACAATTCTGCAAGTATGACAAAGGCTGCTGAGGGAAGAAAAGGCAATACATTCTCCCCATCCACCATGGATAGGACAAGAAGAAAAGGACTAAAATTGAGGCAGAAAAAGTTCAGTTTAGACACTAGGAGCAGCGTAGAGAGAGTGAGGCACTAAAGCAGATTGCCTGGGGACATGGTGGAGTCTCCATTACTGAAGGTCTTCCAGAACTACCTAGGGAAGCCACAGCCAGGAGCAATCCTGGCAGAGGTAAACATGTCACAAGTTCCCTTTCAGCCTCCAATTCCCTGGCACTGATGTGATAGCAAGAGGAGTAAATGTGAAAAGGTGAGACCAAAATTCAACGTTCATGTAACGTTTTGTAAGATGCAAATTATGCTACCTTGGGGAAGCTGTATAACTTACAGTGTTTATGAAAATCACACATCTTCTCCATATTGTCACTGGTTCAAGTTTGTCTTGCTAAAAATGACCAAAACCATAGCTGCCACTGGACAACTATGAGGTAAAAAATTATCCTGGGCTCTTTCTCATCCCCAAGTCAACAGCAGTTTGCCTAAAATATTCAACACAGTTGCCAAGCCAATGGCAGTTACTATTGGACAACCATGGGCTGAATATCCCTGGGCATAGCTGGATCTTTCAAGGCTGAACCACAGTGGAAGAGGACAGCGGGCTGGCACTTCACACTTGTGGAGCCCCTGCTTCAACCCCTATGAGGATGTTAGCCTTTCATTCAACAAGTGCTGTCATCAATCTACTGTTTTTCTTCAGACCTTCAGATCCCAATAATTAATAGCCACACTGAAGCAAGGTTAACAGAGAGAGATCACAGCTTTCCTATGTTTGAATGGCTTGTGCTTGATTCTACAAGGACTTTAACAATATGATCCTAAATCTCTGAAGGAAATCCAGTGATAGAGCTGTCTGCGCAAAGACATGTGGTGATTTTGTTCAGGGCACTCACTTGACTGCTAGGGTCACAGAGAATGGCAGCACAGTCAAGAGTTGTCCTAAATCTCTCCAGGTCCTTCCAAAGAAAATCTGAGGGAGGTTTGTGAATCACTGTAGCATCTGCTGCCCAAACCTGCAGAGATCAAGCAGCCGTTAGATTAAAGACAAAATGGCTCCTGGATGTTTATACAATATAAGAACTCAGTAAAAACATCAGGTTTTCCTTTTGATTTTTGTAACACTGGTGACTGTTTGATCTGTGAAATCAAAGCTGAAAGAACTGTATTTCAAGACTCACAGTTTAGTTATAGTGATTATTTTCAAGTACCTCTCCTGAGGATTAACAGAGATTAGCAAAGGCACATTTTTCAAGGTGTGATAGTAAATCCTGGGTTTTTTGGTCTGTCTTGCTGAAGGTAAGATTAAAAATAGGCAGTTTCTTTTATTTTCTGAATTACCAGGGGCATTGGAAGAGATCTGTGATATCGACTTTAAAATTCCCGTCTCTGCTTGATTCTGGATTCCCTCTGTTCAGGGAGAAGCTGTCTCTACTGGAGACCAGAAATTTTTTGTACTTTTATCCTAATACAAAAGATTTAACAACGTTGTGCTTTATATAAAGTGAACACAATTATCTGTGACCTTTATCACTATCACAGTAGCAAAAGGACCCATTATGAAAACATTTCTCTTGCATAAGATCACCACAACATGCTTTTGCAAATAGTGTTCCTAAAGGATTTGGCATTTGCCATCTGTAAGAAAATGGCTTCAACTATTTCCTGGGAGCCAAAACAATGCTCATTCAATTTTAAAGAAGTATCTTGAAAAAAATAGAATGCTCTCTTCCAGAAGTGCTCACCATACAGCACTCTGACAAGGTGTATTTGTGGCTTTTTCACACATACGTGAGAAGACAACATTGACTCATCTGGGCCCTTGCCAGATTACATTTCCAGCTTTCTTGTAAGAGGGCTCATGCAGGGCTGCATTGACCTGCATCCAGCTTGGTGATGAATGTGGACTTTGCCTCTTTTTATTCTGCGAGACCTCAATTTTCATCTCAGAAAAAGAAACAAACACTGGTGGTAAAGGAGGCTTCAGGCCATATTCCAACTATCTACACTGGCATCTAACTTGAGCATTTTGCCTTGGTTCATCTGTTGCTCTCACACAGAGCTGGGGCCTGGAAGTCTTCCCTAGCTGGCTGTCTGACACAGAAACTATTGTACATGAATTTTAGATGCAAGAGTTGGCAGCCTGAATACGACCCATTGAAATGAATAAGCCAGCAGAAATTTTCTGCTTGCACATGCTGGAACAGAAGCTGTGGTGGACCTTCTACCTCAGTCACCCAAGAGCCTCTTAATGATAATGGGAACAGCAACCTTGTTGATGACTTCAGCACTGATCAGAGCGCTTCAGCAAGGATTGCTTTTGGGGTGGGTGGCGTCAAAGCCAATTAAGAGGAAACCATTTCTGAGGAGATCTGAAAAGTGTCTTGCAGCCAGCCGAACAGCTAGCATCTTTACCCAGTATAGCAAAGGCTGAGCCCACTCTGAGTGTGGGTACATCCCAGAGGTTGCTGGAGGCTGCGTGCAGACACCAGCAGATGTTCCTCAGCTACACCTACAACTGAGCCTTGGTCACATTTAGTTCACACATTCAAGCCTTTTTCATTACCATGGATATCAGATGCATGTATTTGTTGTTGTCTATTTAAAGCTTTTCTGGGGTATGATGAAGTCATCTGACTCTTTGTGTCTTAAATCCTACCTGTTTCTCCTTCAGACTGGCAAAAAGATGCATCTGAACTAGCTGGAGGGGAAGTAATTTTTTCAGCAGACCATGCGCTGAATTTTTAACGTATAGTTCTGGTATGACATCAAAGGAGAGCACATCATTATCTTCCTTTTACAGAATAGGAAACTAAGGCACAGAGTGTCAGCATTTTGCCTAAAGTCACCCAAGGCAAAGCCAGGAACAGAGCCCCATTGCCAGAACAGTGGTTTATGGCTTCCTCTGCTGGATAACAGACAGTGGGCAGTCTGGAAAGCAACATCATTTTTCTTTTTATTTTCAGTTGAGACCCTATATAGTGATACCTCAGACTATACACAAAACTGTATTAATTGCTTTAGTAGCAACAAATAAAAGTCATTTACTTTCCAGTTCTATTATTTGTGGTTTTCCAATCCAAAGTACCCACCATCTGTTGGCAAATACTGGCACAACTCAATATTCTGACAGTATGGGGAGCTTTTTATGGGAGCAATGATTGGGAAAAGAATGTATCAAACAAGGATTTTCTAGGATAGCTTCCCATTACTGGGCAACATGAAGTGCTGGATGTGTCATGCAAATGCCAGGCTTGTACTGACAATGGACATTAGCAGCTTCTTCTGAATTTGTCATTATTTGTGAGTGTTAGCCTTTCTGAAAATACAGATTTAAGATTGTCTCTGTACTATCAGGCTAAGAGTGTACCCTAGTCTGCCAGCTGAGAAAAGGCACACAACCCCCCCCCACTCACTGTCACAGTGGAATTAGGCGCCATCCTGGTCTCAGGGGGAAATTGAAATACAGCCACTGCTTGACCTCGGACGTCCTGTTTCAAGAGATAATCCCCAATGTCTTCCTCTTTCACAGGGGCACAGTTCAGGATCTTTACAAAATGACCACCTGGATCAACTTCAGCAATTTTCAAATTTCTAATAACAGTGAAAGAACAGATTTTGATTTGAAAGTGTAAAAGCATTGCTTAATTGAAAAAATGAATTTATTTCCTTATAACAACTAGCCTAGATACCAATAATTAATAGTAAGTAAACGTACCACAGGCAGTACATTTACAGCACTGCCATTCTACTTTTTATGCAGTGCCTTTCATCTGAAAAAAATCAATTTGCATTAAAGTTATTATATTCTATTTCTCTTTCACACTTAGGTAGCATCCATTACCATCAAAAATTAAAATATGCTTTGTGGGGCAAAAAGTCATCAGTATACCATTTGAATTTAGTTTTGTCTAAATATACATAGGCTGCAACCTCTAAGGCTGCCTTGGGTATTTAGCCTAGTATGATTAGTGGGAGTTGTGTAGCTGACTCCATAAGTTTATAAAATCCCTCCCGTCCATCAGTATATATTTCTCCTCCTGCCTTTCATTGTTTTTTCCTTCCTGGAGAAAGACACATCTTCATTATTAACACTTTATTATTAACTGAGAGAGAGTCCATGCTACAAGACTGAGATTTCATCCCTCCCTCGTTTCAGAATCACAGCAAAGCCGGGTCTGTTTTGCATCTGCAGTAAGATCAGGGACTTCTTGCGCAAGCAGGGGAATACTCAATCTCCCCTAAGCACTGGAAAACAAATTTATCACTTGAGTGTTCCTTAAAGTAGCTCACATGTCAAGGGAGCACTTTTAAACAGTCAGTCCCAGACTGTAATGCTCATGACAGGTCTTATTAGACAGGTTGTGAATGAAGTCTAAGAATCATTCAGCTTTTGATGTGTCATCTACTGCAATAAATTTAATTATTTAGCACTGGTGCAGTGACTTGTCCATCTCCTGTGCATGTAATGCTTTTGCCCTTGCCACATTAATCCTGTTGCAGTAAGTTTGAGGCCTCAGTGTGTATAATAAAGGTTGACCCCACAGCCCAGACAGCCTATGTACTTGCTTAACACAGCCAAATCCTCATTCACCCTGTGACAAATACTGCCCACCCACCCCAAATAATTGAACCCTGTGGTGTAGCAGTGAGTCATTCTTGCTCAGGCTGCCTCCGGGCTGCCTCTGGCATTGATAGATTTGGAAGCAGAGCCTCGGGGAACTGCCCCCTCCCTGGCCAGAGAGGATATGCATAACAAATCGAACACTTGGCTGCCTCGCCTCTGCCTTCCTGCCAACTTTGGGAACTCCAGAGTTCCCACTCAGTCCTGGTCGACTTGTGCTTCTATTTGTCAGCAAGGAGAGACCTGGAGGCAGTTTAGAAGAGATGCAGAGCCTCGGAAGGGCTTGGCAGCACAGCCAGGCTTGAGGGGCTCCCACCTTCAGACTCTGTCCCTCTTCCGGCTGCTTGCTTTCATCTGGTTGCCAGAGTTTGGCACGTTTCTCCTTCCTCCCTGCTCATAGGACCATACTCTAAGCTGTATCACTGAAATAACTCAGTGTAAAAGGATGGGGGGATATTCTATTAACCTGAGCTTTTTTGGCAATCTCTGCAAGCTGCTGTATCAGTGCAGCTGAAGGGGATGCCCAGCTGTGCTTCAAAACTTTGCAAACTCCTGATGCAGAGAATGATCCTTCAGGATCTCTCAGCTTGTAAATCATCATTTACACACACAGTACACACACGGATGTAAAATGCTGCAACTCAAATCCACAGTTGCTTCCTACATACATCGCCACAGTCCCAGAGCTCCAGTAGTGGCCTAGGACTCCACTGGTTCTAAAACCAGAATGACACCAGAAACAACGAGAAAGCCGTGATATTTTTACACTCTGAAAGGGTGCAGAGCCACATAAGTCAAAGGGAGAAGGCTTTTAAACCATACAGAAGGCAAAAATCTTCCTGATCTCCCATTTCTCTCTGTGCAAGGAAAGTGAAAGAAAAGTTTTGGGTGCCAAAATGTACCTAGGAGATCAGGAAAAAGCGGATGGGAAAAGACACCTCCTAAAATGGTCTTAAAAGGCCATTTTATGATGTAACCTTGTAAATAGCAGAATCCTGGTTCATAAAGGAGCGCATAATGGTGGTCCAGGGTAGCGTAACTTTCCCTAAAACAAGACCTCAGGTTGAACCTAGTGAAGCCAGGGAGACTTGGGAACATAAAATGGGCCTCACGGGACTTTTGGATACAACACAGGACTGGTAAAGGAACAACTGATAGGACATGGGTATTTGATATTGGAAGCTGCTGAAGCAAGCAACGCAGAGCTGCCAGCTTGAGTCCAGGCAATCCACTGCCTCACAGCCACGCTGGCTGAAGGAGAAGGTCAGATCCAAAGCTGCAAGGGTTAAACAGCAAGGTTGGCTCAACTGTGTAAGGTTGAATCCTGAAAGAGCTGTTAGTGACAAAGAAGAGTAAATGGGCTTGATCATGCTTGATCATGGTTCAATCTCAAATGTTTCAGAATCAGTTGGGCACTCTCCTGTGCCAGATCAGAGAGCCAGTACTTTTGATGGGCATAGCATGAGATGAGAATGCATCATCATGCAATTCTCCTTCCAGGCATGAAAATACAGCTTCCTTCTGTGGACAACTCCCAGTATCTAGAAGAGCCTAGAAGGAGCTGTTAGCTCCCAATGATCCTGCTCTGAGTGGGTTTTCCCAAGTAATGGCTCTCTGGCATCTCCCTTTTGTTCCCTGGAGAAGCCATTCACCCGTCCCCTGAGTCAGCCTGGGATTAATAGCAATTTTCATTATCTGCCTGTACATCCCAAACAGAGAGTCTAAGTCAAGAGCCCCTGTTTTGTTAACACATATAAATCTAAAAAAAAGCTCCTTATGAATCAATGTCAGTTTTTCATATAGGCATGGGGTCTGCACATATCAAAAGAGAGAGAAGTGGCAGAAAAGAAAGGAGAGCAGGCAGGTCCACACCAGGGACCTTGATTCCATTCACCATAAAAACTTAGAAGCAGGTATATTTCTCCTCACTTTATAACAGAAAATGAAGCTCTCTCACACAGGCTCCTGTAACTTGTACAAATGTTTCTCATCAAGTACAAGGACCACGATTCACTGGCTCTGTTGTGTAAACCTGATACAGATGCAGGCCTTGCTAATAACTATACCCTTGAAGAGGAGCTAAATGACTAATGGGAGGGAAACATCCCACCCCAGAAGGCATCAGAGGCTTGATGATTGCCCAAGAAGCATAAAGTCAGCAAAAATCTGTGGTAACTGAAGAAGAGGTAAAGGTGGTGGTGGAGAGTGATCTCACAACCCAATTCAAGATCAGGAAGACTTGCCCCTCCATGCCTGTAAGGAGCATATGTGCTCATTTACATAGCAAGCAAGGCCAATTTAAATATAACTAACCAATGAGGGACAAAGTGATAAGAAACTAACCAGTGGTGATTACAGTAAACATGTATTTGTGTAGTTTGAACTGTATAAATACCTTGAAGTTCTTTTGTGTGCTGTGCTAGCTTTCTGGAATTATGACCTAGCACCCATTTTTGTGCTAATATAGAATAAGCTGATATCTGGGCTCTGTGTGTGGGATTGGCTTTTTGCACACCAGGTAACAAACTCTGAGGGACAACACTCCCTCACACTGTTTCCTGCTCTTTTTCTCAGAGAGTTCTGTCTTTAGTCAGTCATCTGTGCTGTATGTGTCTTTAAATTATAAATGGATAATCTTCCAGATTTTGGGAGGTCCCTTTGTCAGAGGAATTCCTGGGGATATAGCCCTTGTTTGATGAAATTCAGAGTGACTAAATTAACAAACAACTGACTAAAGATAAGATTCTTTGTTTGAACTGGAAATCCTGTTTTGCCAGCAACTATTTTTAAGGAATTCTATAATAAAATACGTATGCCTGTACCTTCATGTTTTGTTATATTATTTTCTGCCAAAGAAGACTCTGAGTTTATGAATATCATGATCTATGTGTATGTCTCATCGGGAATTTGGGCCTTAGCCTGTGCACTTCCTACCCTCGACCTTAAAAATCCCAAATGTATAGGCCCCATTTGAACTAATTTCCCCAAATCCATTCAGTTTTGTACTCTAAGTGTACATGCAGCTTAGTCCCATGCCGAAGCCCTACATGTAACAGGACAGAGGGAGCTGATGGGGAAAGTGAGACCTGCAGGATTTCTCTAAGAACTTGTATAGCCAGCTAGCTGCTCGATGGCAACAGACTTTTGTGAGTTTAAATGAGGGAATAACTTCTCCAAGCAGATGTTCACTGAAGGCTTCAAAGCTTTTTTTAGCAAGTTAGTTTACCTTTCAAGATAGTGCACTAGCTCCTGTGAGACAGGAGCTAAAGTACTAAAGTGCATGGGGAGAGGTGGGCATGTGTTGATGCTGTAGTTTCTTCTGCTACGTGCAGAAGATATTCTCTGGTGGAACATGATCCAACGTTTTTTATAATGTACATAGCACTGCACATTGCAGAGGGGGGAAAAAATGTCAGTATTCTCAGTAGCATGGAGTGCATCAGCCATGGACCTGTGACCTGTCATTAGGATGCCATTTGAACTGCTCCTCTCTGATAGAGCTGATAGAGGTAGCAGCAGTATAGTGTTTTAACTATAAAACACACCAAGAATTCAAGTATTTCTGAGCTCCTAAGTCTTTGAGAAAGTCACAGATTTGTATTATTATTATGTTGGGAAAGGCTTATCTCCAGAAGTACAAATCTATTTATTTGTATGCCAGCAGATTTAACTATACTAGAGGGACAGAACAGGAAAAGTCCTGGGAGAAGGGTCAGCTCACTCTTTGGGAAAGGCTGTGAAATGTTGCATACCTAGCAGCTCTATGCAACTGTAGGCCTGAAACACCGAGGTTCAGCTGAGATCCCAAGTATTTTACAGATTAGGACTTTAACTTAACTCATCCATGGTATGTAGCACATGCACTTACTACAAAATAGATATTGATGATTTTTCGATAGCCATGAACAAAATTTCAAGTATCAGTTTCTATTTTTCTTGTTTTCTGCAAAACAGACACCCTAAAAATACA